TGGGGAATTCTGGGAGTTGAAGTCCACCCATCTTAAAAGGGCCAAGGTTAAGAAACACCATTTTAGCTTGTCCATGCTCCACTTTGGTTAGATATTGGTTAACACTATTTCTGTATCACCAGCTTCCAAAAAGGTACCCCAATGTACTCAAGCAGTCCTTGTTCTGGGTTTGCATGTCAAAACTGAACCCCTGACTGTACAGGCTGGGTCTGCCCAACACATTAGGCTAAAATGTGGGTTATTCGTTTCTGCTTTAAGGTGTTGTGTGAAGGTAGTGTCAGCTGTGGAAACTTCTAAGATAGTGTTTTTCAAACTTGGCCAGCATCCACCCATCTTAAAGTTGGCTGGGGATTCCGGGAGTTGAAGTTCACGCATCTTAAAGTTGGCTGGGAATTCTGGGAGTTGAAGTCCACCCATCTTAAAGTGGCCAAGTTTGGGAAACACTGGGAAATACTTAAACTCCCATTCGCAAGTTATGGATTAGCTCATCCCAGCAAGGAGCTGTAACAAATCCTGCCTGGCTAATGCATCTGTTTTGCATTTCCAAATAGTTGGTTCTCATTTTCCTACTAAAACAAAACAAAACACTGAAATGCACGTGAAATGTTTTTATAGGTGCCTTCCCAAGGCAGTAAATACTGAGAATCAGGGAAAAAATGTAGCTCTGGTTATTGGAGAGTCCTGCAGATGGCAGTGTTGCAATAGTTTTCATGCAGAGAGAGTCTCGTTCAAAGCTCCTCTTTTCTGGGTAGGTTCACACACTGCATCAAGCCATGGCTTGTTTAACAGGGCACACTGCACGGAGTGGGCACACCCTGCAGGGAGACTGTACTTCCTGATCCTTCTTTCTGGATCTGAAGAGGTGATTCTGGCAGGGCATTTGATTAGGGTGCACAGGTACGCCTCGTTGTGTCCATTCCTAAAATTTCATATCTGCACCCCGTTCTTTGTCGAGTTTGTGCTGCAACACGATCGCTTGCGTGATGAGAACATTGTAGGTGCGAACTGGTAAAGATGCTCTCAGTCCTCCTGATTTCAGAGCCATCGGTCTCAACAGCTGGAAAATTCCCAGGGATCATTTCTCGTTTAGTTTGCACCCAGCCCACTTCCAGTCAATCTCTCCAGCCAGATCACAGCAAATACGCACACCGCTCGGTTCAGCCAGCGAGAAAGACAGCTGGATGTTTATTTCTTAAACCTCAGCAAACACCAACACGGAGCTGACAAAGGGGGATTAAAGGCCAGCAACAGCAGACGTAAGGAAAAATAAACGCAAGATGCAGGGATGCGCATCACCTCTATATCAAAAGGGCTGAACTTTCCGGAGCCACTGGGAAAAAAAAAACGGGATAATTAGCAGGGACAGTCCCAAAGGGTGATCGCCTTTGGTGATTCTGGCTTTAACCCTTTTCTGTGCCCAGCAGTAGCAGAATAGAGATGGAAAGTAGGCCACCAGGTGATCCCCCCTCTCTTCTGCACCTTGAGCAAAACAGTTAGGTGGATGGAAATGATATATGCAACACTTAGAAGTTTTGATCACTCATTTGGGACTGGATCGTGCACCCCTTCAGCCTGAGATCACTTTATGGAAAAGGTAATGGTGACACATAACTGGGTTCACACTTTGCATTCAACCCTGCGGTGGTCTGGGCTTGCTTTGTGTAGAAAAAAAAAATAGAGAAAATAAGAGAGAGAGAATATAACAGCTTGGAGAAATAAGAAAGAAATTAAAGAAGAAGAAAAAACATACTATTGTGCCCTTCCTCCCTTCTTTCTATCAAGCAGTTATCGTCTTAATCTTTTCCCCAACCTCCTCATCTCCTTTTTAATCCCCAAATCTCTAAATCATCCATTTTTTCTTCTTTCAGCAAAAACTCCATATAAGGCTTCCAGTCTTTTAAAAAAAGTCTTTATCATTTTTTTTCTCTGACCAGCGGTCAGCTTCACCATTTCTGCAAGTTCAGTTAATTTTATAATCCAGTCTTCCACTGTAGGCATTTCATTGTTTTTCCAACTTTTTGCGTACAATAATCTTGCCACATCAGAAGCAGAAGTTCTCACTGCGCTATAATGCAGAGCAAATAACATTGCAGGCACAGACAGGGCGCTGCCAATTTCCCTGGCTGATCCCCACTTCCTCCCATTCATGCATTTTTCTTCATTCCTGACTTGCACCCAAAATATATCTTGTTCTCAGAGTGGCTAATTCTTATCCTAATGAAAAACAACCAAATGAAATCCTCCAGCTATTCAGAAGAGCCAATGAATGTTAAAACAAGTTTTTTTTTTTAAGTGATGCTATGCAAGGACACGAAAAAAAATATTGTTCTTTGCATTCTCGCACATTTTCTCCCCAGAACTGAAACATCCTTTCTCTGTTCAGAAATGTATATGACGCCTAATTTTTTTTTTTTTTAGATTTTTTATCCTGCCTTTATTATTTTTATAAATAATAACAC